GGCACTATTCCTAGTAAAATGACGTAAGAACAACGTGTGTTATTATTTTTTTCGTATTGATTTATTATTTTAAAATTTTCGAAGCAAAAACATCAATGTATTAAAAGTATTTTAAAATATTTTAAACTCAATCACTAATATATATATTAGATGATATATGAAATGTAGTTATTTCTTCATATTAGAACTCATTCACAATTTTATTCTCATTTACATTCACATTCTCTTTTTTCTTTTCTTTTTTTCATAATCCAAACATTTATTAATTTTTTATAAAATGTTTGAATTCATAATCTTTTTTTAAAATTTAGTAAGGTGTTTTTTAAGCCTCATTTCATTAAGATTTACAAGATATCTAATAATAAATGTGGACTAGGTATATGTTATTTTTTTCAATAAAGTAAAAAAAAAATCATTTGATCTCTTGGGCGGCCAAAATCAATATTTGTTTACAAATTTTGTTGGATTTTGTTCATTTTTTATTCTTTTGCCGTTAAATTTTTTTATCCTTTTAATTTTCTATACATTTCATTTTATTTTACGTAAATATTGAGCAAAACAAACATATTTTTTCATCAAAATTTAAATTATTATTCAATTTGGAAACCAAAAAAATAGTTTTTACAACAAGAAGTAGTGTATTTACAAGTTGATTGTAGCAATTTAATGTTTGTTAGTGGAACAACTAAAGTTAGGCAATTTACAATAAAAATTAGTATATTTACAAGTTGATTATAGAAATTTCATGTCTGGTCGTGTAACAAGTGAAATTAAGAAATTTATAACAACAATTAGTACATTTGCAGGTTTGGGATTTATGTAACAAGTGAAGTTACATGCTATGAATTTTAATGTATTGTCTAGTATACATATTAATAACATAATTATTATTATGTGAAGGCTTATGAAAATGGAACGGGGAGGAGACGAAACATGTGACACTGTTTTATACACTATGCTTTTCAAGTAAATTCAACAATTGGAGTTCAATTATATGTTTATGAGGCTATGCATTATTTTGAGTTTTTAACATTCCATATGTGTAACCACACTAATTATTATTATGTCATAGAAGCAACTCACTTTATTGAGGTTAAAGTTATTGTGGTGGTTTGGCACTCACAAAAGTAATTTAAAGTCAGATGATGTTGCAAAGCTACTTGAACAGATTAAAACAAAATAAAAAAGAAAGCGCTGACTTATAAATTCATATATTTTCAATTGAAAATGTGGTTTAAGTTAGTTTACAATGTGTACAAATTTGTATTTAGATATTTTGGTATGGAATACTTTATTATTTATTTTGGTCACATGGAGTAGTTTGTATATAAGAAATTTTTGACATGTCAATTTTATAGAATCATTAGTTGTGATTGTGAAAATTAGGAACTTGTGAAGTAACCATTCAAAGATATCAATAAATGCACACTGACAATTAGATTAAATAAATTTACAACAAAAATATGATGATTCACAACAAAGATAAGTGACTTTAGAACTAAACTAATACATTCACAACTAAAAAAAACACATTCATAATCGAATTATATAAACTTACAACAAACATCAGATGATTTACAATAAAGATAAGTCAATTTACAGCTAAACATAAGTATCAACAACTAAACTAATCAAATTCAAAGCTCACTACAACAAATGGAAATAAGTGAGGGAGTTGATAAGGAAGATTAAGAGATTCACAAGAGGGATACAAAAATTTACAATCATTGGCTAGTGAGGGAAATGATAAATATTTTTTTTAGTTGTTAGACCAATAAACATTAAATTACTGTAATGAACTTGTAAATGCACTAATTATTGTTGTAAAAAATATTTTTTTTCTGTTTCCATAATGAATAATAATTTAAAATTTGATGAAAAAATATGTTTTTTTTGTTCAATATTTACGTAAAATAAAATGAAATGTATGGAAAATTAAAAGGATAAAAAAATTTGACTGCAAAAGAATAGAACATGAACAAAATCCAATAAAATATCTACAAAAAAAAATTGATTTTCGTCACCCAAGAGATCAAATTAATTTTCCTTTTTACTCTGTTAAAAAAAACTAACAAATACCCAAAGCATATGTATTATTAGATATCTGTTAAATCTTAAATGAAATGATGTTTAAAAAACACCTTACTAAAATGTATAAAAAAGATTATGAATTCAAACATTTTGTTAAAAAATAATAATAAATGTTTGGACTATGAAAAAAAAAAAGAGAATGTGAATGTAAATGAGAATAAAATTGTGAATGAGTTCTACTATGATGAAATAATTATATTCCACATATCATGTAATATATATATGTATTAGTAAGTGATTATTGAGTTTAAAATATTTTAAAATACTTTTAATATGTTGATTGTTTTGCTTCTAAAATTTTAAAATAATAAATCAGTATGAAAAATATAATAACACTTTCTCACGTCATTTTATCAGGAACAACGCTATTTCATCGAGGTCACGAAAAAGTTGAGATTCAATGGAGCTTTGCTGGATCTAATAAAACGTCCCTTCTTTCTCTTTCTTTACAGGCATTTTGGTCTTTTAGCTTCACAATTTAATTTCAGTTTACCCTTATAGGAGTGCAGTGATATTTCAGACTTTTATGGGGACATTTTGAAATTAAATCTGCAGAGGGTTAAATGAAATTCTCCCTGCTTAAAATTGCTGGAGTTGCATGCAAAACGATACTTAGAAGTCCAAGTATGGTCTGAGTCTTTCCAGTCCCTGGGGGCCCCTACAAGAATTTTGTTAGAACCAATTCAAGCATTTACAGGGGCCAACAACCAATTAAAGCCTACACGCCCAGGCTGAATAATTTTTTAAAATTTATTTTATTGATGTATATTAAATTATATCAAAAGTTTGTATTTATGTAGGTTTTAGTAGGTTCAAAACTTGAAACGTGAGATCTTTTTAAAGACTTACAGTATAGGTAGGTTTCTAAAAAGGTTTCAGGTCTGTCAAGCTTTTGAAAGCTCAAACCTGAACCTATTAAAAAAAAAAAAAACATGTATGCAAACTCAAACGTAGGCTTAGGATTTAAACTCTCGTTTAAAGCTCAACCTAACCTACATACATTTGTATGTAAAAAATCAATACACTAGTTCATCATTATATGATTAATCTGTCCAGTTTAAAATAAATAAGATTCTTGGTTTAAAAAAATGAAATTCACTAAAATCTATCGAAAACAATATAGTTCAGTTATATATATAAATATAAAAAAGGTCCAAATCTATTAAATTGTTTGCTGCTAAAATCATTCTTTTCTTTTATGCCTAAAAAATAATTATTACCCTCTTTAATCCTATATAAAATTGTTTTCAAAAAAGATACTAATAATACATACTAGAAAATATATTAATAGCATAGTAGTACTATAGAATCACAATGAAGTCCTAAGGAAGAAAAATAATTACAAAATAAGTTCTAAAAGTTGTCATTTTTCATTTTGAAACTTATCTTTACAGACTGTTTAGATTATTATTAGATTTTTTAGTAATTTTTTTAAGACTTAATTATAATTCTCCCGGAATATAATAGAACTCCATGTTACCTCTTCGTAGAGTTCTCATGAAGATCAATTATGCTAGTGACTATAAACACACTCTAAAATTAAGAGATCAATTTAAGTTATTAAATGTAGTTAAATTATCAAAATTAGTGTTATAATAATTAAATTCATCAATATTAGTAATAAATGATATGGTCTCCTTACATTATAATAGTATTTGTTTTTCCACGGGACAAGTAGGTAGACACGGTTAAATTAGGTTGTAAATTGAAACAAACCAACTTTACCTATTTGAGCTGCCAAAAATCACTAAAGAAGAGTCAGGTCCATTTGTTTGTTTGAATTCATTACAACCAATTTTCCCATCCAATCTTGACATTTGGCCAATTTTTGCTCACTTTATCATTTACTTAAATATTATAAGCTATAATTATATTTGTCATAAAATTTAGAAGTTAAGATTTGATTCTAACGCATATATGCAAATGGAATTAAAGTTTTGTTCGAAAACATTACACCTAAGGTTATAATATCAATGGGCCAGGTTTAGTAGAAAAGAATTAGTTTCTCGTGACATAAGAAATCAAATATTTGCTAGAAGAGATATTCACGTAAATGTCTAAACTCTCCGGGACAATTTTTCCATCTCACAAACACACACCCCCCAAAAAAACGACTAGACCAGAATTCTCCTATACAATGTCCTGGGCTGCACCATAATGACATGTGCCTTAAGAAGACTTGACCTATGAACTTTTTCAAGCTCAGATATCAGGCCAGGAGTCACATAGAACAAGTCAATAATCTATTTTGAGCCAATCTGTAAGTACATTGACAATGAGCATCTTTTCTTTTCCGCCAATACCTTCCACATTGGGTAAAACAACCTTGAGAATGACAACAAGTGTTTCCCTTTCTCCATGTCTAAGGATCTGCTCTACTTTCTCATAATCTTATGTGTTCGATTTAATGTGATTGGTGACTTTTATGTCTTTTTGTAGAAGACTCAACTTTCAAGGTCTTTCAAGGACAAGACATGTCTTGTTTTATTCGTAGCACATGCATGGAAAATCAGGCACTGAGATTTTATCATCATTCTCTTATCCTTTCATTTTTTATGATTTAGATATTTATGGCCATTGTTGGTTTATTATATTAGATGATTAGATTGTTGCAGTTTTATCCAAGCTTTAAAAAAGAAAGAAAGAAAGAAAAAACTAACTTTGGCTCTATTAAACATTAACTAGCATTTGTTGACAAGACCCAGGTAAAAAAAAAAAAAGCACTTTAGTTACTATCCCGGTATAAACTTGGATACAGGGCATGATATAAGATAGGAACATAGAAAGACAATCAAATACAGTGCAATTAAAAATGAGACTGAGTCCTGTACACGCTTTTGACATATCCGTACTGGAGATGTGTACATTTTTTCACGTCTTTGGTAAACACTGGATGGAAATATCTTAGAATGCCGTCTATAACTTTTCCTATATAGTGTATTGGGATGACAGGTAGATAACAAGATATTTATGATTGAACAAGGGGAGGTTATGAGAGTGAAGCTTACAGTTCCACCATAACTAGATGATGGGTGAAAGAGTATTAGTGTTGCTGGTTCTTGTTTTCACCCCTTTTCTGGTTGCAGAAACAGGAACAGCTCATGAGGATTGTAAGTTTGGTTCTCAAATAATGTATTATATGATATCCTTGATTTCTGAATAACTTCTATGCTACACATGTTTCTGCATATAGAGTCTATCATCCCAAGAATGAAATCTTGAGCATCATCTAACATATGCAAAACTTTTATATCTCCAAGATTTAGCAGGTGGTCTTGGCTTCAAACTTCTAAATTTTAATTTTATTGCACTCAAAAGAGTGAAACTTGAAGCTTTTCATGATTTGACCTTCTGTTCTGCATATTTTCTGTGCAGTCGAAAGTTGGATATTAACATGTATATTCTAAACTCATGATTTGTCATGTACTTAAAAGAATGAAACCTTTGTTTATTCCACCTTCTCCTCTGCATATTTTCATTGCAATCAAAATCTGGATACTTCTTATGCATATTCTGAAGTGTGTTTGGAATATCATGCAGTTGTAGCTCTGAAGTCTCTTATGGATACGTTGAAGGACACTCCCGCTAGTTGGTCGAGTCCAGATCCTTGTGATGGTAGTTGGGAAGGAATCAAGTGCACCAACTCTCGTGTTACTTCGATGTAGTTTTTCTTGCGGATTTTTATGTGAAGTTGCCTGCTTTGTCGTATGCCTTCTGTTGTGAGATTAACTTGCTTCATAATATTTCAGAAAATTATCAGGCACAGATTTGACAGGCCAGCTATCAGGAGATATTGGTTCACTATCTGAATTAGAAACATTGTAGGTGATTTGCTTTTGGTATTTTTCTTATTATGCTCGTCCAATCCATAATGTAAAACCTGATTGTGAAGTTGATCTTAGTTCTAAATATAAGGGTTATTTCTCATGTTTATGAGTTTGTCCAAATTACTTCTATTGACACTCCCTCAACCATAATCAAGTAGAAGAGAATGGGAGGATATTAAGGAAGATTATTAGGATGTTTTAAGAAAAACATGTCATATTTATTATAATTAACTAACTTATATAACTTTCTTATTTTGATCAAATTAGTTAAATAAGTTTTACTTTAAAAATCAGAGGAGTGTTTGATATGCATCTATCTCTTTGTATTAGACATGACATGACACTTCATATTGCATTTCTTATGACCAAAAAATCTTCCAAGTTTGTGGCACATCCTGTAGTGTCAACTTTCTGTCACTGGGGTTGTGCATCGGATTTCAAAGCAGTGAAGAAAATTTGGGTAAAGATCTTAAGTGCTAGCTATGATGTTCTTGTGTGAAACATAATACACGGGGAACGTTTTTATTTGGAAGGAATCAAGCGTACAACGTTGAGCTGTGAAAAATATCCGCACGTCTTGAAGGAATTGTGTTGAGCTACTATCTTCAAATATGACTAAAGATTGAATCGAGTTCTATATGCTCTTAAAATTAATATGATTTCTGTAGGGAACTGTTTTTTGTAAAACGTTGTCACAAATTCTTCCTGATTTTTGTCCTTTGATAGGGATCTCTCTTATAACAAGGGTTTGACTGGTTCACTTCCACCAGAAATTGCAAACTTGCAGAAACTGTCCAACTTGTAAGAGTGTATTGATTATTATCAAGAATATAACCCCAATCTCAAATAGCTCACATCAAATGATTCTCAACAAATAAAGATGCTTTCTTATTTTCAGGTTTCTTGTTGACTGTAGTTTCACTGGTCCCATTCCAGATAATATAGGATCCCTGCAGCAACTTGTCTTCTTGTAAGAACTATGAAAAAAAGCTTTCCATTTAGACCAAGAAAATATGATTTGAGTATCTGTTCATATTCTTTTGCTGCAGTCTATGCATTTTGTTGGTGTGCTAGTTTCTGGGGTGACACTCTGAATCAGCCATTTTTTATTTCAGATCTTTGAATAAAAACAGATTTTCCGGGAAAATTCCTCCTTCAATTGGTAATCTGACGCAACTTACTTGGCTAGATTTAACTGAGAATGAGCTTGAAGGACTCATCCCAGTATCAAGTGGCAGCATGCCTGGTCTTGATAAGCTACTCAATACAAAGCACTTGTACTTCAACTCTCTTCTGCAATAGTTACCATTTCTCCTCCAACTATGGATAGCTTTCATTAATTGATCCCTATTTCATACATTTCCATTTTCTACAGTCATCTTGGAAAGAACAAGCTTTCAGGAGAGATCCCCCCTCAGCTTTTTACCTCAGAAATGACTCTGAAACATGTGTAAGTACCACTCAACATTTGTCATATAGAAAAGTATGCAATATTTCCTACTCATATGGAAACTAAGCAAGGCACAGAATGCATCCCAAACATATAACTTTATTTTGTCTGCTTCAGTAGCTCTCTTTGTAACTAGGAACAAGCAAAGGGAAAAAAGAGAGGGAGATAACCGATAATGGATATTTTTATGACGCTATGCCAGCATAGAAACTGGGGATCAATGGTATAGAGGAAAGAGTCAATGATACAGAAGTAAACAACACAATCAACCAGAAAATGATAGAATCATGGATTTATATTCGTAGGGACATCTTCTGTCTTAAACTCTAGTGCTCATCTATATTAGACTATTTGACTGTGCCTTTCTACCTCAACATCTTTTGGCACAGGCTTTTGGACAGCAATAAACTTACAGGGAACATTCCTTTAACACTTGGACTTGTTCAGAGTTTGGAGGTGGTGTAAGTGTCTTTGTTACATATTTCAAACAGGTTAGAATTCAACTAGATTCTTTCAGGCTCAAGAATCCTTCTATGGCTACAGGCGCTTTGACAATAATTCCTTAATCGGAAACTTGCCTCAGAACATCAACAATCTTACGAATCTTCAGGAGATGTAAGCAGAAATGAACTAATTACCAGACAAGCTTTATTGTTCTATTAAATGACCATCGTTAATTCTTATGGAAACTGACTTTTGATCTAAGTTCAGGTTTTTTTGTTTTTGGTTTGCAGGTACTTTTCCAACAATAAGCTGTCTGGTCCTATGCCAAGCCTGAGTAGAATGAATTTCCTCGCATACCTGTAATTATTTGGCAATGCGTAAATTTTATGAAAATCATGTTACTATTATCAAATAAAATTTGCGAAGAAAATAATATTACTCCCATGATAATGGCTGACTTTGTTTTGAAGTGATATGAGCAACAACAGCTTCGATCGTTCAGATTTTCCACCATGGCTTCCAACTCTATGGAATTTAACAACATTGTATGTCTTTATTTTTTTCACTTCAACCTGATGCGCCCCCCGACCCCCACCCCCCAAAAAAAAAAGGAAATTTGCACTTAAATGCAGTTTTTTCCCCATTGCAGAAAGATGGAGAACACTAAACTTACAGGGGAGATTCCTGCATCTTTCTTCACTCTTGCCCATTTACAGAATGTGTGAGTAATAGAGGAATTAATTTGGTGCCATGAAGTTTGGAACCTCGACAGTCACAAATTGATTGCAGAAAAGGAGTGGGAATCCTATTCATAGTCTCACTCATTTTGTCACTCTCTCTCGGAATGCTTAACTATATAACTGTAGAAGATCCAATTTAGTAGGGTGTTTTAAGTAGTTTGAGGTTTTCATATAATGACTGATTACATTCAAACAGGAAAGAAAGAAGAAATTTCACATATTAATGTCCGCTAATATGTTCTGATATGTGACTACAGGGTGCTAAATGGTAATAATCTCAATGGCTCGTTGAACATTGGCACCACCTACAGCAAGCAGCTGCGACGAATTGAGTTGCAGGGTAACGAAATCGTGAATTGTGATCCGCAAGATCCGCCCTCCAACATCAAGATAACGTAAGATATAAATCTTAATGATTATGGGCTCTTTTATCATCTAGCTGTATACAGAGAAGGCAGTTTCTTCGCTTCAAAAGAGTCTTATTTCTCCGTCCATGGCATAGTTTACATTTTCATCTTTTTCTATTCAGACTGGTGAGCAATCCTATTTGCTATGAAGGGAGAGAAACACGAAGTTTCTGTTCTGATGCGCCAGCCAATATGACATATGCAGCACCACCAAGTTCCTGCCCTCCAGTTACCTGTAGATCAGACCAGAATCTCAGTCCAAACTGCAAATGTGCATATCCATTTGAGGGAATTTTAAGTTTCAGAACTCCTTCCTTCCCAGACTGGCAAAACTCTTTGCCCATTCAGAAATTTCTAATGCGAGATGTTAAAGCTAATAATCTACCTGTGGATTCAGTATCTGTGACAAATCTGACCCAGAATCAATTTAAAGATGTTGAATTGACCTTACAAGTGTTCCCTTCAAGGGAAGATCATTTCAACAGAACTGAGACTTCTAGTATAACTTCTCTTCTAAGCAATCTGACCACTTATCCATTCTATTTCTATCCATATCCTTATGGACACTATGGTAATTACTTCGGTTAGCCTGTTTTACACTTTGTATAAGAAATTCCTTGTAGTTAGTTATTGTTTCATGTTAAATTTTTTCTTTCTTTCTTTTCATTTAGAGGAACCTGTGGAATCAAGTAAATCGTCAAATGTTGCTTTGATAACTGGAGCAATTGTTGGTTGTTCTGTTGTGCTGGTCTTACTACTTTTTGCTGGCGTTTATGCTTTCTACCAAAAGAAAAGGGCAGAAAAAGCAATTTCTCAAAGCAATCCTTTTGGTAAGATATCATTTACAAGAGGCAAATTACACAAATTCTCTCCTAGTTTAGTTTAAAAATAACATATTTCCTCTAAATTTTGTTGAAATTTGATAGAGCTCCTATCTATTCTAAAAACCCATCTGCATCTCCTAAAACAGAGTAAACTACACAGACTTCCCTTGAGTTCTGTTGAAATAGTGAGGATGCCTACGTTTTTTATTTTAGAGGAAGTCTCCACACACACACACACACACACATATATATTTGTTTTTCAGAAGATGAAGGATGACTTTATTTAATTTAGTCAATCTAACAAACTACGAAGACTTCCCTTGAGTTCTGTTTTTTGTTTCAAGGGAGATATTTAACTTAGCCCCAGAATTTCTAGACAATCTAATAAAATTGAGTTGGGAAATTTTTTGTTCTATGATATGCAGGAAAATGGGTTTCTAATGACAACAAAGTCACGACCCCTAATTTGAGAGGAGTAAGGCAATTCTCTTTTGCAGAGGTCAAGAAATACACCAGAAATTTTTCTCAAGCCAATGATATCGGAGCTGGGGGTTATGGAAAGGTCATTTATCATCTTTATCTTCAATTCCCAGTGGTTCAATAAATGGCTAATAGCTGGCTAAAAAGGGATCAAAATACAAATAACACTCCTTAACATAGGAGGTTATACAATCTATCCCTTCAACTTTAAACAATGACTATCACTAATACTGTTATGGTAGTCCACAAGGAAAATGTTTTTTGGTCAAATTAATATTTAAGATTACACATTTTGTAAGTATTTGTTGACAGGTTTATAGAGGGACACTTCCCAATGGGCAACTAGTAGCCATAAAAAGAGCTCAAAGAGAATCTAAGCAGGGAGGGCTTGAGTTTAAAGCTGAGATTGAACTTCTGTCAAGGGCCCACCATAACAATCTTGTAAGCCTTGTGGGGTTCTGCTTTGAGAGAGAAGAACAAATGCTGGTTTATGAGTATGTCCCAAATGGAACTTTACACGGTGCTATCTCAGGTACTTCTATCCACTTTTCACCATCTACAGAACAGATTAGTTCAAGTGCCATCTGAAAATGTATATGGATATTTTTTGGCTTCTACATCCAGCTTTTGGGCACAATGCAGTTTCCTAAAAGCTGGTAATACGAGCTTTTGGATAACTAACATACCAAAAAAAAAAATGAAAATGTTTGCAAAGTGGGACATAATAGACTCAGCATATTTTTCTTCTACAAATAACACAGATGTGATCTGTGACTGTATCCAGGGAAATCAGCACTTAGATTGGACTGGCCTAGGAGGCTAAAGGTAATCCTTGGTGCTGCTAAAGGTTTAGCTTATCTACATGACCATGCGAATCCCCGTATCATACATAGGGACATCAAGTCAACTAACATCTTGCTGGATGATCACTTAAATGCCAAAGTAGCTGATTTTGGCCTTTCCAAGACTATGGTTGATTGTGGCAAAGATCATATCACCACTCAAGTTAAAGGAACAATGGTAGGTTTGGTACCTTCTAAACCCTTTTACACTACACAGACTAACAGAACTAGTTATGACTTATGAGAAGATTTCATATAATTGTACAAATTGATTGAGGATTGAATGCTTCATTGTACCCTTAAATCATAACAAATAGTCCCAAAATTGTAATTCTATTTTGGTTATGGAATCTAATATCTAGAAAACTCTCAGCTTCTGTGAAGAATGTCAAACTAATTTGATGAGCATGGATCTATTTATTTCTGATATAGGGCTATTTAGATCCAGAGTATTACACAAGTCAGCATTTGACTGAAAAGAGCGATGTTTACAGCTTTGGAGTTCTAATGTTGGAGATGATAACTGCGAGAAAACCTATAGAAAAAGGGAAATACGTTGTGAAAGTGGTTAGGAATTTAATTGATAGAACAAAGGAGTTATATGGTCTTGAAGAAATTATTGACCCAGTCATTGGTTCAGAATCAACATTGAAGGGTTTAGAGAACTTTGTGGATCTCTCACTGAAGTGTCTTCAAGAGACAGGTGCTGATAGGCCTTCAATGAATGATGTGGTCAAAGAAATTGAAAGCATTTTGAAGATAGCTGGTTTGAACGACACTTCTGGATCAATGACATCTAATTCAGCTAGTTATGATGAGATAACAAGAGGGACTTCTCTGGATCTTTATAGTAATGACTCCTTTGATTCAGGTGCAGTACCCCTGCAACTAAAACTTGAGCCTAAGCAAGTCCACCGTACAATTTAGAATTGTGAAGCCAGGAACTTGTTTTATCAACCTTTCTTTGTATTTAGGCCATAGGTTAGACACAGGGGCGTCTTTATTGATCTATCTTTCTTTTTAATCTTGGGACTGTATGGCTGATATTTGTTTGTGGATACTATAAATGTTTGTTTTTCAATTTGCTAGCTATATGAACCGAATTTGAACTTATGGATGAACGGAGTGAGGTTCGAAACTAGGAAAATAAGATATTCAATGTTGAGAGGTTGTAATGCTGTTTTGGTATTAATGTTCTTAAGCAACTATATTTGACATGGCTGCTTATATTTTTATCAAGAAAGAAGCCTTTGCATGGCATGAGAAGTGTCCTTCAGAGACCTAAAGGAATTCAAATACATAGAACGGCAAGACCAGAATTCTTAATTAGTTAACACGAGTTATGTTGTAGATTACACCGCAACCATGAATTACTTCACATGACCTCCCAAGATTTCACCTGAAGATTTTAGAGATACACGTAATCCAGAGTTATATGCTAGTGTATCACTAATGACTATAGCATTGTTTTTATCATTTTTTTTAATAAAAAGATCTATTATGTTCCTCTGGTTCTTAATATAAAACCTATTTAATTAATTTGATTAGATTAAGAAAGTTAGATAAGTTAGTTAATTATAAAAAATATGACATGTTTTTTTCTAAAATACCATAATCATCTTTCCTAATATTCTCCCTCCCTCTTCTACTTGATTACGGTTGAAGAAGTATCCATAGAGGAAATTTAAGAAAAACTGATAAATATAAGAAATAGATTTTATATTTAGGATCAAAATCAACTCAACAATTAAATCCTATATTAAGGACCGAAGAGTATAATAAAGAGACGTATATAAAGATAACCATACATACAATAATACTACCTCTGGTCCTAATTATAAGAGCTAATTGACTAATTTGAGGAGATTAAGGAAAGAAGTTAAGTTAGTTATTTGTGATAAATATGTGCTGTTTTTTCTAAAATATCCTTGCTAATTAAGTGTATTGGCTACAACTACTGTTGTTAAGAGGACTATCTTAAAAAAAAAAGTATAAATATGAGAGACAGAGTGCATTGGTGTCTTATATTTAGGACCAAAATAAAAGTCAAATAAGGTCTTATATTAAGGACCGGAGGTAAGATATAACACCCAAATGCTACCTCCCGTTTTTAATATAAGACCCAGTTGATTAATTTGGAGAGATTTAAAAAGTTAATAAATTACTTAATTATAACATACTATCTCCGGTTCTTAATATAAGACGTTGTTTGATTTTTATTTTAGTCCTAACTATAAGACCCCAATCACTTTATCTCTCATATTTAAGCATTTTTTCCAAAATAATCCTTCTAATAATAGTAGTTCTAACCAATACACTTGATTAGCAAGGGTATTTTAGGAAAGACAACACCTATTTATTACAAATAACTAATTTAACTTATTTTCTTAATCTCTTCAAATTAGTCAATTAGCTCTTATAATTAAAACCTAAGGTAGTATATTGCATGATCTTTCTAAAAGATTTATAAATATCATTAGATTATATATCAATTTATAAGTGAAGCAAATTAGTTTTTATAAAAACAATAAATATAAATACTTTAAAGTAATTTAACAACTTCCTTAATTTCACCAAATTAGTTAATTGAATATTGTATTAAAGATCGGAGCTAGTACAACTATAATAGCTAATGACCAAACTAAAGTGTCAAACAAACTAAAGAATGAAAGCGTACCACAGCTAACTTCCAGTAGATCATATTTAAACACATTTTTCATGTGGTTTTTGACATAGCTATTTGAAATACAGCTCAGATTCAGACGCTAATTGTATAATACATAAAGCACATTGTACTGTTTATCGCCGGCGCATAGTGCAATTTGTTATATAAATGTTATTAACTTTGATTTTAAATATAAAAGATAGATAACTAATTTATAAAAATTAAAAAAATTAGTTATGTTAATTATTTATAAAAAAATATATTTTGATTTTCCTAGAGAGTACCTTTTCAGTTATTTACATTAGAAATTACCTTTTGACAAATATCCTTTAATATAGGTACTGATTCATATAATTCGAATTGTAGGTAATATGTAACACGTACTGATATGAAGTTACATTTATATATATTTAGTTTACTGTGTTATTTGCTTTGTAATCCAAGTCCTTTTTATGATTCATATCCCACTTGGTATCCCCAGTCCTTAGAGGATATATGTGTGTGTCTTTTTTCTCTCTTTTTTTTCCATTTAAAATTTCATATCGATTTTTTTTTAAAAAAAAGGATGACTAATAAATATTATTTCTATTTGTTTTCCAAGGGGGAAAAACTTCTTGTATGTGTTTCAGCGGCATCCCACTCCTCTCCCTGTTTTGCGCCGATTCCATCAGTTACGGCTGCCGTCTCTTCAATTCTTACCCTTCCATTCCACGAACTCATCTCTCTCTCTCGGTGCACCAACCCAGTCGCGATCTTCACTCCCTCCGCTAAACAAGTTCCTGTTGAGGTGCTGCCACCACTCGATCACCGGCACACTGGCCACCAAGGCAGCCTCCAGTGCTGAGTTCCCCCCGCATTGAGTCACAGACCCACCTACCAACTCTGCTCAGCACCTCCACTTGTGGGCCCCTCGACCTCATCACCGCCACCGTCGTCCTATGTTTGATTCTTTCCTTATGCGACCATCATATTTCCGGCAGGAAAGGAATGTTGGATAGTTTCTTCAAGCCAGACGGGTCAGACTCAGATCCCTGGTTTTGGTTTCTCTTCCATTTTCCCAAAGACTCAAATCAGTGAACCAAACGGGCCTAGTTTTAGAGTTGCATTAGGCAGTAGCGGTGGCGCATGATCAGATTGTTCCGTCCCACTAAATCTACCGCACGATCATGCATCACTTTGTCAGCACATTCTATTTCGTCTCAATTAAGCCACCCCCACCATTACCAATCCACGGCTTCTGTGGACTTCGATTCCCATCTCTACGCGGCTACGCTTCAGAAATGCATACACAATGGTGACTATTGCTCCGGAAAATGCCTTCACTGTCATATCATTAAGACAGGCGCTTCTTTGGACTTATTTGCATTTAACGTTCTTCTTAATCTGTATGTAAAGTCCGATTCTTTGACCGATGCATCTCAACTGTTCGATGAAATGCCCAGTAGTAACACTGTCTCCTTCACTACATTGGCTCAGGGTTACATGCGCTCACTTCAATTCCCTGCAGCTCTTGACTTATTCCTTATGTTATTCAGAGGAGGCCACCAGCTCAATCCTTTTGTTTTCACATCCATTCTCAAGTTGCTTGTCAGTATGGACCGCGCACAGATGTGTTTCTCTATTCATGCGTGTATTTATAAGCTTGGTTATCACTCTGACGCGTTTGTTGGTACTGCTCTTATTGATGCCTACTCTGTTTGTGGGTGTGTTGATGTTGCTAGAAGTGTTTTCGATGACATTCTTTTTAAGGACATGGTCACTTGGACTGGCATGGTAGCTTGCTATGCTGAGAATGACTGCTTTAACTGTTCATTACAACTTTTCTCCCACATGAGGCTAATAGGTTACAAACTAAACAACTTTGTCATCACTGCGGTGCTCAAGTCCTGTCTTGGCTTACAGGCCTTTTGCCTTGGCATGAGTATTCATGCATGTGCTTTGAAAACTCATTACGAACAGGATCTTTATGTTGGGCTTGCACTGCTGGAATTGTATAGTAAGTCCCAAGATCTTGATGCTGCACGGCAATTTTTTGAGGAAATGCCTAAAACTGATCTTATTCCTTGGAGTCTAATGATCGCTCGGTACGCTCAGAGTGACAAAAGTGTAGAGGCTTTGGAGTTGTTCCAGCGTTTGAGGCAATCATCCATTGTCCCTAATCAGTTTACATTCGCTAGCGTATTGCAAGCTTGTGCGGCTTTACCTGCATTAAATTTGGGGGAGCAAATTCACTCTTATGTCCTGAAAGTTGGTCTTGACTCAAATGTGTTTGTGTCTAATACCCTCATTGATGTTTATGCCAAGTGTAGTAAAATGGAGAACTCTATGAAATTATTTGTGGAATCACCTGAGCATAATGAAGTGACTTGGAATACCATGATTGTTGGTTATGTGCAGTTAGGAGACGAGGAGAAGGCACTAAATATGTTTGTATCCATGGTTGCTTATCCCATACAGCCAACCGAAGTGACATACTCCAGTGTTCTTCGTGCCTGTGCGAGTTTAACATCATTGAATCAAGGACATCAGGTTCATTCTTTAACTATCAAAACCATATACGATAAGGACACTGTAGTTGCCAATTCATTGGTAGATATGTATGCCAAATGTGGTAACATTCGTGATGCCCGAATAGTATTTGATAAGATGGGAAATCGAGATGAAGTTTCATGGAATGCTATGATCTGTGGATATTCCATGCATGGCCTAGGTGTGGAGGCTCTAAATATATTTGAAATGATGCGACAATCTAATTGTAAACCAAATAAACTAACTTTTGTTGGTGTCCTATCTGGATGTAGCAATGCAGGACTGCTAGATAAAGGACAAGCACTCTTTAAGTCAATGATGCAAGACTATGGCATCAAACCATGTATAGAACATTATACTTGCATGGTTTGGCTTCTTGGAAGGTCAGGCCATCTTGAGAAAGCTGTGAAACTCATTGGTGAAATTCCATTTCAGCCTAGTGTTATGGTGTGGCGAGCATTGCTTGGTGCTTGTGTCATCCACAATAATATTGATCTTGGAAGGGTCTGTGCCAAACGTGTACTTGAGATGGATCCACATGACGATGCAACCCATATACTTCTGTCAAACATGTATGCCACAGCAAGGAGATGGGACGGTGTTGCTTCTATTAGAAAAGTTATGCACACAAAAGGAGTCAGGAAGGAGCCAGGGTTAAGTTGGATTGAGGATCAAGGTGTGGTTCACTATTTTACTGCCGGGAACACCTGTCATCCTGACATTAAACTTATCGGTGCAATGCTTGAATGGTTAAACAAAAAAACGAGGGAGGAAGGATATGTACCCAATATCAATGCCGTTTTGCTCGATATGGAGGATGTTGAAAAAGCACGTCTCTTGTGGGTTCACAGTGAAAGATTGGCTCTTGCATTTGGACTGATTCGATTGCCACGTGGTTGTCCTATACATATCATAAAAAATCTCCGTATATGTGTAGATTGCCACATTGTTATGAAGTTGGTCTCCAAAATTGTGCAGCGAGATATTATTATCAGAGATATGAATAGGTTTCACCATTTTCAGCATGGGATTTGCTCCTGTGGTGATTATTGGTGAATGATGTGATTCAAGTTCCAGAATCACAAATTCCCATTTTCATTTTGCGGTTGCCTGCAAGAAATTCTTGTTTCACTTGAAGGTAAACTTGTATAGGCAAATGGTCATGTCATATATGGTCTCATTACCAGGGATGATTCGTGTTTGATCTTAGGATCTTGTCACTAGCTTTCTTCGAGCAAAACTTTCAAACAAAGATGTGAAGTAATATGCTTCTTCTTGATACTTTTATTGTTTCATCCTCACCTCTGCTATGTATGTTTCATTACATTACTGGGACAACTTTGCAGGCCATTCGCTTTACCTTTTTTGCCTATTCAGATCTTACTCTTCTGTTACAAAAGGGGCAATAATGCTTTACTGCTTCCACTTCGTTTTATTTATGTTGCTCTCTCTTAGTCATTCACCTCACACACTTTATTTGACTTGCTCTTGGACCATCAATTCTGCCAAAATGTGGCCCACCCTACATTGTTGACTATTTGTTTTTGGGTTGTGCATCTTGTACAGGATTGAAGAAGTCAAGAAAACTTGGATAAAGTACTTTTAGTGATAGCTATGAGGTTCTTCCGTTTAACAGTGAGAAAAGTTCTTTGGAAGAATAGTTCATCTAGTGCTGAATTTACTAGCTTTTATGAGTTGATCTCTGTTTCAAATATGTCCATTTCCTACATTTATCTTGGCAGGAACGAGCTTTCGGGCACAATTCGTCCTCAACTTTTTTAGCTCGCAAATCATCCTGATACATGGGTAAGAACTGAGAAGTAAGAACCACCCAGTATTTATCATTTTCTTGGCAAACAATATTTATCAATTTAGACTCTTTCAGTATAACTATCAAAGAAAATTATGCTGACTTGCCTACTTACAGATTGGTTGGATCATAACAAAGCATAGAATACTGATACAGAGGTTCAATAAACTGAATCTTCTGATGATGCCGTAATGTATCGCCCTAGTTTCTAGCTTCATTTGGCATTACTGCAGTGGCTTTATTTTTCTATGTTACATTTAATATTGGTTTTTATTTTATTTTATTTTTATACTAACAAGTTTGTGTACCAAACTGCCAATCAATCCTTATTGCATGTGCTTTAATGCAGAAAAATCCAGTTTTCACCAGATGGAAGGGTGTAATATGGTCGGGTCTGCGGGGAGACTCTCCATTCATTGTGATGGCAAAACAGACTCCTTTTTTTTTTTTAAGCCACGGAATTACTGAGAAACAATGCTGCTTAGACTGAAGGAGGGAACTTGACCAGAGCTTCTTTTGCTATAGTCTAAGTGTTTTGTGCACTGTATTGAGTCATAATGTTTATGGTTTATAAAAAGGGTAAATTGTATACAACTTTCCTAAACTTTATGTCATGTACAAATAACCTTCATTTTTAACGTTTTACAATAAATCCTCCTAAACTCTTACATTTATGTAGATGAGTTTCATGTTATTAATTTTGTTCACTACCCAAATGCATATAACTAAAGTTTAATGAGTTTGCATGCATATAATTCTGAGTTTGTGAAAATTATATGTACACAAAAATAAAATTTAAGGAGGCGTGTGAGGGTTGTCTGAATAAAATTAAAAGTTTAGGTGGATCTATTGTTAAGTTTTAAATATTAAGGGAAATATTCAGGTTCAAAGTTTAGGAAAGTTTTGTCCAATTTAGCTTGTAAATAATAATGATTACTAATTTTATATTTGGGCCTATGGGCTTTCCATGCCCTGAATGCTATCTAGGAAATGATCGGGTCTGGATTCTTTCAACGGGAGCGTCTCTCAGCGTTCGGACATGTTCCATCATACTCCTCCGGTCTTTAATATAAGACCCATTTAACTAATTTGATTAGATTAAGAAAGTTAGGTAAGTTAGTTAATTATAAGAAATGTGACATGTTTTTCTTAAAATACCATAATCATCTTTCTTAATTAATATCCCATCTTCCTCTTCTACTTGATTATGGTTGATGGAATATCTATAAGGGTAATTTAGAGAAAATTGAAAAATATGATAAATGGGTCTTATATTTAGGACCAAAACCAACTTAACAATTAGATCCTATATTAAGGACCGGAGGAGTATTAATCTAAGAGCTCATAATATGTCACATCATCATACTATTGAAAATTAAAAATAAATCTAACTGATGCCATTTTTTTTTTTAAATTTCCTAGGAGTGAAACAGCTAATTTTCTTGGATCTACTTATTTTAACTGTAAAATTTATTAAGAGTCTAAAGGGATATAAATTAGGTCGAATAGGACCACAAAGAAGGCAAAGTTCTTCCATCAACTATTTTAATTAAAAGTTAAAATAAAATAAAATACTTGGTATACTTCTACCACTATTTATGATCCTGATTGGCTTAATGTATACCAGAAAAAATTAAGATAAATCTTTCAATTTAAGTTGAAAAGGTCCAAAAAAATTATATATACATATGTGATGGTTAATGTTTTCATCATTTATGGTCATCTAGATGAGTGTAGAGTCTGAACATATCATAAATCCTCAAGTTGAAATGAGATAGGTGAAAATACATCAGTGTTTCGTGCTAATAAAAACTTAAGAGGTGTTTAGGAGGTCTCAGAAACACTTTTAAAATATATTTTCATACAAATTGAAACAAAATTCCTCTCACATACTTATCTTAAATTTTATAAAATTACTTCTAAAATCTTAATTTAGTTTTCATCTAAATACCTCCTAGTCGAAAGTTGGTAAAAAAATTTTATTTCTAATTTTTAATAGCATTACGATGTGGCACAACTGCCACAACGTAAGCTGTGTGCCTGTGTTAGATGAACTTTAACGGCTGCTAGTTGGACGCTGAGAGACGCTGGGGGAAGAGAAAGCTGAGAGTATCCTACTCCCAAGTGGTCATGGTTTGTGTATATGGGTATCTGAAATCAAGCACTAAAGGGTTAAATTTAAGCATCATCAAGCTTAAAAGTAAATCTCTTAAAAATATTTTTTATACTCACATGAACTCATTCTTCAAGTTCATTATTTCATATTTAAACACCTATTATTCATCTATAACTTACAAGTTAAAGTTATATTTCCTTTTTAATAGCACAATAGTCGTATGTTTTTCATTGTTACAAAGTATTTGTCTTTGAATTATTCTTTTGTATAAAATATAAATATACCCCCTTGTTTACCCAAAAAAAAAAAAAAGCCCCCCCCGGTTCACAACAATTATTACTTTAAAAAATACTTTTGACTTAAATACTCTCTTATGCATATAATTTGAGGATTTTTTTTTAAAAAAAGTGATAAACATTTTAAAAATAATAAAAGCTATAAACAACCATTTTTGTGAACCAAATTATGAAAGGGCTATTAGTCATGGACTTTCCAAGCGGAGAACAGGTCAACTGTATATTCATGTAACAGAAGCGTTCACCAGTTGATTAGATTGGGATTGAAGCATTCACCAGTTAATTGGTCCAGTAATTTCATGAGTGTAATAATGCTAATTTTCAGTTGGCTTGCCCACAAAACTCTTCTCCCATTTGATATGAGTCTGCATCTAACCTTATAAAAGACCAGTCAACAGAAAATGAAACATTTCATTCTCAAGAAAACATTCTTTACTTAACAAATTTGACTATATTATAAAAATTAAATGAATTAGTTAATTTTAACAAATATGATTTGATTTTCTTAAAGGAAAAAAATTTAGGTTGAGTTCGTTATATCAATTATATCAAGTTCTCTAATCATATATGGTCTTGTATTCTTTTTTATTTCATGTGAATTTATAATTAAATGCTATCAAACACTAATATTTTAAAAATAAAATACATGGTTATGTATAATTGGAGAACTTGACACAATGGATATGAATAACTTGGTTTTACATGACATTAGATTATACTCCTCCGGTCCTAATTATAAGACCCAATTGACTTATTTGAGGAAATTAAAGAAGTAAGTTAAGTTGGTTATTTATAATAAATAAGTGTTGTCATTCCTAAAATATCCTTGCTAATTAAGTATATTGGCTAAAACTATCATTATTAGAAGGATTATCTTAGAAAAAATGCATAAATATAAGAGACAAAATGGATTGGGTCTTATAATTAGGACCAAATAAAAAGTCAATTGGGTCTTATAATAAGGACTGGAGGAGTATATATATATATATATATATATAAGGCAGTAAGATACAATGGATTCAAATCTACAGCAAACTCCTGGAGAAATATATAATACATATTTATAAGAAAAATGAAAACATTAAATGCTATGTTTATTTTATAAATTAAATTATAAAAGATAGTGGTTTAATTGAATTAAATTTTTATTCATATAATTTCGATTATTTTTGAAAAACCAACCATCTAATCCGATCTATAAATCAAATAGCACTCTGGGTGCACCCAAAAAAGGAGATTAAATTCAATTATTTTAATGAAAACCAACTCGTATACTAAATTAAAATGGGATACAGCAGTTTCAAATTATTAAAATAAATAAATCTGAATGATAAAATATATTACCAATGTAACTGGGTTCTCATCATCTCTTATAAACAACAGTCTATATTATAGTCTCTCAGAGAAAATTAGAGGACCTATCATATTCCTCTGGCTCTGTTTATAAAGTACAAAAAGGAAATTTTCTATCCTATTTATAAATCACTTTATTAAATTTTTACTATAAATATACTATTCAGTTCTTTATTTATTATGGTTTATAGTTTTTTTTTAAATGTGTATATATTTATTATGTTGGCTTCATTCAAATCTGGTGAGTGTATTTATTTATTTTTCTTGTAAGCAGTTGAATGAATTTATTGATCATTAAGCTATCATCTTCAATTTAATTAATGATAAGTAGGAATACATGGTCAATATTTTATCTGTTCAATCTTTATAAATCGACTTCAGCTAAATATCACATCTGGGTTTATAAAACATCATAATTTAAATCCTTCAACAAAATAATAGCAGTAGTAATAATAATAATAATATAACACTTACATCAATTTCTTTATATATATTATATCAAGTTTCTGAATTATACATGATCATGTGTCTTATTTTTAAAATACTAATATTGAATTATAAGCTTACATTAAAAAAAAAAAAAGATACCACAATCATGTGTAACTAGAAAACTTGATATAATAGATAAAAAGTGTTTTATCTAAATATTTTTTTTAAATATTAGCTCTTCAAACTTAAATATACTAACAAGTTTGATTTAAGAAAATTACGTGAGTCTATCATTTATATAAATTGTGCAATGATTTTTCTAAAATAACTTCCTTTTATTATTTATATTGGAGTATTATCAATATAGTTTATGCATCGTATATTAGACAAAATAATAAATAAATAAAGGACATTAAATTTTTATATTTAGAATCAAGATAAACTTTTCAATTATTTAGAATTAGAGAGATTATAATACTTGGCTAGTAGATATAGTATCCTAATGTTCAAGATACCAGATGCCATCCATGTTATTTAAAGACAAATGCCTTTTAAATTTTTTTTTAAGACCCGTGTGTCATTTTAAAATTTTCAAATCTCACAAAATTATATAAATACCCTTCACTATTTTTTTTATTTTTTCTTTTTAATATTGCCATCTCATCCCCTTGGCCAGTTTCCGGCCATCAAAACTCCGACAACAGCAACTCTATTGGTGGCCAGCCGCCAAAGCTCCAGTGGCATGTTACCGAAACTCCGGTGACTACTCTTTCTTATGTATTGACTAATTCTTTTTTAGTTATTGACTGTATTTATTTTTAAAACTTCAATGACTACTCTTGTTTAACTACTGACTATTCTAGTATTATAATTGATTACTTTCATTTTTAAAAATTTGGTGAATACTCTTGTTTAGCTATTAACTATTTTGTTTCAAAAATTCAAAAAATACATCAAGTGTTGTTGGAATCTATGGCACGTTTGGTTGGACCGCAAGAATCATAATTACATGTAATCACGATACAAAGTACTGATTCAATTGTTTGGTTTGGCTTTTGCGATGTAAAGAGGATTACATTT